CAAGAATATGACTATAGTTGACTATAGTCATATATAATCATATATAGTCATATTTGAAATAGTAAATTTTTTGGGAAAAAAAATTCAAAAAATAAAAATAAATAATAAATAATTTTATAATTTTTTTAAATAAAAAAACAAAAATGTTTAATGCAGTTGGTGGAAATGTTGAATGCAGTTAGGACAAAAATTACATGTAGGGGCAATATAGTCTTTTTGCCTCTTTAGGGGTATCTCCGAAAGGTTATAATCCAGTGGAATTGGGACTAACTTGGGAAAGTTGAAGACAATATTTCTAGGTTGCAGAAAAGTATTATGGAGATGGAAGAAAGATTAGCTCAAGAATGGGATGATGGTATTAATGAATCATGCAAAGGTGCCAAGAATGAGCTTAATCAACATCTTGAATGGGAAATGTAGTTGTTAGCCTCAAAAGCAGAGAGTGTGTTGGTTGGCGGTTGGAGATCGCAACACCAAGCTCTTCCATGCGATGATTAAAGATAGAAGGAAGTTCAACACGATTTCTCTTCATTTAGAAGATGGGTCGTTATACGTCGGATGGTCAGATAATTGGAGAGAAAACAACCTTGTATTTTGAAGGAGCTCTTTACCGCCACTCTATACCAATTGGATTCTGATCTTTTTGCCCATATTGAGCCTACAGTTAGTGCCGACATGTATATGCAACTTGTTGAACTTCCAAATGAAGATGAAGTGTTCCAGGCTATGAAAGATCTATCCGCTGATGGTGCTCCGGGACAAGATGGTTTCACGGGGCATTTTTCTGTTAATTTTGGGGGTGTTATCAAGGAAGAGTTGATGCAGGTTGTGTATGGATATTTCGGAGGAGAATATTTATTTAAGGGTATGGCCACTAGTGTTTGGTCTTAATTCCAAAGATCTCGAATCCAGAGGATCTCAGCCATTTCAGGCCAATCAGCTTGAGTAACTTCAACAGCAAAGTGAGGGCTTGAGTAACTTCAACAGCAGAGTGATATCGAATTTTTTTGCTACCAGGTTGAGGCGATTCCTTCCTCAGATATTGTCCGAAGAGCAATCGGGTTTTTTTTAAAGAGCGGAATATTCACGAGTCAAATGCGATCGCTCAAGAATTAATGACTGATATCAAGAGAAGAGTTGAAGGAGGAAATTTACTTTTCAAGTTTGATATGTCTAAGGCGTATGACAGATTATATTGGAATGGAGGTTTCTCCTAAAAGCCATGCAGTCCCTTGGCTTCTCACATCAAGTATGCGATCTTGTATACCATTCAGTGTCCAACATTCGGTATACAATTTTTATTAACGGTGAATTGTATGGCCATTTTTAATCTTCAAGAGGGTTCCAACAAAGTGACCCTTTATCCCCCTTACTTTATTACTACCATTGAAATATCTTGGAATCCCAACCTTTAAGGGTCGTTGTCTGATTAAACATTTCAATTACTTAATTCAACAGTTTCAGCAACGACTTCATGGTTGGGAAGTGAAACTGCTAATCTTCACGGGTAGATTCACCCTTCTCCAATCGGTCATGTTAAGTAACCCAACTCATAATTTATCGTCCGCGGTGGTTCTGAAGCAGATTTAATTTAAAATGGACATCCTTTGTCGAAGGTTCTTGTGGCGAAAAATCAGAACATCGGAATCAACTGGATCAGTTGGGATAAGGTTTGTCAGCCAAAAACCGAAGGAGGCCTAGGGTTACGTTCTTTGTAGGATACAACCTTTATTTCGGTCGGGATTGGGAAGTTGGAGTTGAAAATATTAGAGGGTAAATCTTTGTGGGCGATGTTTATTAGAGCAAAGTACATGACGAGATATAATGGTGATCCTCTACCACACTCCACCAATCTCTATCGTGCATTATGGTCGCACTTTCAAATCTTGCAAAATAATAGTAGGTGGGTTATAGTGAGAGCAAGTATTGATTTTTGGAACGATTGTTGGAATGATGAAGATATCCTTGACCCTGATCTATCGATATCAATTGAAGAGGCCTAGGGTCAAGAGGGTCGTACAAAGAGCTTTTGAACTCAGACCAGCAACAAATTTTCGATATGATTACGTTGGATGAAAACGTTGAGGACCGATTACTATTCACTCACTCGGTAATTGGTATTTTCACGGTTTCTGCTTATTGGGATTTGATCAGAATTCAAGTCAGAAGCTTCCATTCACCAACAAGATTTGACATGGTTGTGTATGGAGCCATTCCGGTTGACATGGTTATGTGAAAGCTCAGATTTACTTATCCCTCCAAATGTCAATGCTGCGTGAACCCTAGCCAAGAGAGTATTTGGCAAAAACCATGTACACGTCCATGCAAAAACCATGTACACGTCCATGCAACATATCATCAAAGCTTGGACGGACGATGTGAGCACTAAAACTCAGGAAGGTTTGATTGCTATTGATATTTTGTTCTTTGGTTGCTGGGAGATACGGAGAAATAGATGATTGGTCATATTTGAAGATGTGCCCTTGAGTTCAGGTACCATTATTCGTGATATTCAATCTTCTCTTGTTGTCCTTAATGAAGCCATGGTCGTTAAAACGCCGTCCAAGCCATGGGGCAAGATTTTTATGGAGAATTTAAACCTGCACGTAAAGGAACCAAGGGTAGATAGAGGTAAATGGATATTATCAAACCTCCAGATGTGAATATTATCAAATTAAATGTACACGGGTCAAGGAAAGGGGATCATGCTCTGGGGGAGGCATTTTGAGAAATAGTAATGGTACCATACTTCGCGATTTTTCTTATTTTTATGGTGCGTGTTTTCACACTTTTGCGGACGCTAATGCCATTTTAGAAGGACTGTATATTTGCCGGGAACTTTGTAGCGATCATATAGTGATTGAATCGGACTAAAAAATAATGGTGGAAATGATTCAAGGTAAGGTTACTCCTGGATGAGAGATTTATTATATTATTAAAGGTATTAAAAGGATTCTTCGCCAAAACTGGAATGTGGAGCATATTTATAGGGAAGGAAACAAGGTTGCGGATGGCTTGGCAAAGATGGCGCTAACTCACATGGAGAAACGACAATGCATAAAAACACAAGAGCTTCCCCATAGTATTAGGCACATTTTATTTTTGGATATAATTGATATTTGTCAGTATCGAAAACAATGTAATTAGGGTGACTCTTTTCCTTGTTCTAGGCCGACAAGGTTTTTAACGAGGCCCCCTGTGCCTTCATGCAATAAAAGTTTCTTCTTTTGACCAAAAAAAACAAAAAAAAAAAAAAAACAAATAGGTCATTGATATTAAAATTATATATTTCAAAAAATAAATAACATACGTTATCATTTGTTAACTTATTATATTTTATTTCTCTCTTTTTTTCTTTTTTACATAATTGACTATGATTAAATCATATTATCACTTATACTAAAAAATGCATAAATAACGATAGTAAATAAAATTTAAGATCTTATTTAACGTCAGTAATTATAATCAATCTTAGTCATTGACAAATTTTTTTTTCTTATTTCTAGACATATTTCTTATATATGAGTTTTATGTTTTTATGGTTTTTTTTTTTTTTTTACATAATTAACTATGGTTAAATCATATTATCACTTATACTAATAAAATGCATAGATAACAATAGTAAATAAAATTTAAGAATTAATTTATGAGTTTTTATTTTCAATGTTTTCATGTCCTTAAAACTACATTTAAGACTTAATTTGTATAAAACTACATTTGAAATAAAAAGTCGGATATTGTTATTTTCAAAAATTCATAATGACAAATATTGTTACAAAATCGAAAATTAAATTCGGAAATCCGGTTCCTGATTTGTACTTCCAGCTCCAACACATCAAAAATTAAACGGCACTATCACCTCAGATCCGATTCAACCGTAGTACCTCTCTCTATTTTTTCTTTTTTTCTTCCCCCACTGATCATCATACTGAAAAGGCGAAAAAAGAAAAACAAAAGAAAAAAAAGAAAAAAAAAAACATTTTAAAACAATTCAATGGCAGCAGTGGCAAAGATCTTCGAACTCAACAATGGCAGCATGCAAGTGAAAGTCTCCAATTACGGATGCACCATCACCTCCTTATTCGTTCCAGACAAAGATGGTCAGTTCTAAATCCAATCCCTATTAAAATTCCGATCTTTTTTTTTTGCCAAGAGTAATAAAATGTTCGTTTTTGCAATTTCCGTTTGGAAGGGAAATTGGGTGATGTTGTTCTTGGATTTGACACAATCGAGCCGTATCAGGTCAGTGACAAAATCATGTTTTGAAACCCCCCATTTGATTAAAATCATGATTAGGTTATTTTTTTTTTCTAATGGAAAAATTGAATAGATATGTGTTATATATATGTATATATGATTTTTTGTGTTGATTTGGGGTTTGATTATTTTGGGTGGCAGAGAGGTGCTGCTCCGTATTTTGGGTGCATAGTGGGTCGGGTGGCGAACAGGATCAAAGAAGGGAAGTTTACACTGAATGGAACTGAGTACTCATTGCCTATCAACAAGCCACCAAACAGTCTCCATGGTATCTATCCTATCTGAATTTTCGTTTTGATTTCCTTTTAATCGTTTTGATTTCATGTTGGCTGGAATTGTTTTCTTATTGGAGTTGTTTTATTTGGGGAGCCTTGTACAGTTGTTGGTCCAATTATCGATTTTGCGTCAATTTCTCCATGAGTTTGTTAGTGGTCAATAAAGAAGTGAAAATTGGTGATTTTTTGCATAAGTAAGGAACAATTCTTTGCGTTACATCATATATGATGTATAGTTTAGGAAGAAAACCCGTGTTTCTTATTGAGATCATATTATGCTTAAGATCATACAGTTAATTGGTTCTTGCTTGCATAAGATGATAAGAGACAAATATAAGTGTACTAGGGATCACGAAAACTTGTGTGGAGTTACATAAAGAGAAATAGAATGAGGAGTTAACCATGCTCTCTGATCTACTAAACATGCTCTCCATTTTCTCGTGATTTTTTTTTCTTAATCGTAGGACTCCGTTTGGTTTCCTTTGAAAAAGGAAAATCTTGTACGATTAATAATTGTAAAGTGTTATCAACTAAGTTGGCTTGTTAAATATGACGAGCTAACGAAAGATGCATGCTTTAAAAATTAATAAGAATGTTTTCACAAAACGGGCTGTATTGTATATTCGTAGGCCCCGTTTGGTTGGCAAGATAAGATTAGCCAAGATAAGATTAAATAATCTAATGAGCGCCAATTATTTTATTGGAACTTGAAACGTCCAACAAAAAAACTCATTAAACTCATTAGAAGGCAAGATAAGGCAAGATAAGCCATGATTATATAATTTTGGCGGGTCGACCCGGCAATTTATTTAGGATACCAAACAACAAATTAAGTCCAACTATTTAGTTAATCATGACTTATCTTGGCAACCAAACGGGGCCTTAGTGTTTTCAGAAGCATATAAAATATGAGGAAATCTCAACGCTGAACAGAAATTATTATCCAAGACTTAATGTCCGATAACTGGGCCTTTTAACGTTTTTTGTTTTCTTTCTAATATTTTTTCTTCACTTCCATTAAAAGGTGGACAAAAGGGATTCGACAAGGTCATCTGGGAAGTTGCTGAGTATAAGCAGGGTGATACTCCATCGATAACCTTTAAATATCACAGTCATGACGGAGAAGAAGGTAATGCAGCCCCCCCATTCACTTGGGTTTCTTCGTTATGTACAAGTTTTTTTTTTTCTAAAATAGAAAGAGAAATGGTTAAACAAGTAACAACTAAACTAAATTGGGTTTAGTTACATTCAAAACCCATGTGTTTATTCTAATTGTTATAAATATTAGCAAAAAACTCCCCTATGATTCTATTTTATTAGCAAACTACTCCCTAAAAACACATCATTTAGGGGGGTTCGTATACTAAAAAAAGAATCATAGGGGGATTTCTGATAATATTAATAACACAAGATTTTTTTTAGCAATTCGATATAACACAAGGGTGTTGAATGCAATAACAACTAAATTGATTGTTTCAACTTAATAGAAGAGACACTCATTGAAATACACCGGCTGCAGCATGTAGTATAATATATCAAATTCATTATTTTAATTTTTACGATCTCTAATGCAGGCTATCCGGGCGATGTTTCTTTCACGGCAACTTACACACTCACATCGAAAACCACAATGAGGCTCGACATGGAAGGCATCCCCAAAGACAAGGCAACACCAATCAGCTTAGCCCAACACACCTATTGGAACCTATCGGGCCACAATTCCGGGAATTCAATCCTCGACCACACGATCCAAATATGGGCCAATCACATCACACCCGTCGATCAGAATATCGTGCCAACTGGCGAGATCCTGGCCGTTAAAAACACTCCGTTCGATTTCACCGCCGAGAACACTAAGATCGGCAGTAGAATCCAAGAGGTTGGAATCGGGTACGACCATAATTACGTGCTCGACTGTGGGGAGGAGAAATTAGGGTTGAAGCGTGCTGCGAAGTTAGTGGACCCCACTAGCTCGAGGACTCTGAATCTGTGGACGGATGCACCTGGTATGCAATTTTACACCGCCAACTATGTGAATGGTATTGTTGGTAAAGGTGGAGCTGTGTATGAGAAGCATGGTGCTGCTTGTCTTGAGACGCAAGGGTTTCCTAATGCAATTAACCAACCGAATTTTCCTTCGGTTGTTGTTCAACCGGGGGAGAAGTACAAGCATACCATGTTGTTTGAGTTTTCGGCTGAGTAAGGGTATAACGGTAATTTTCATATGTTTTATGACAATCTGTGCTGGATTTTTATGCTGGGAATAAGTGGACGATTTGGATGTAACCGAGTAGTTTCTTTTGCAGGAGTTTAGTGAGTGACTTATGAACGTTTTGAACCGCTTTAGGTTCGACTTTTATATATTTATACTTCTTTTTTCGTTTTAATTTTGGATGAGCTCATAAGTTTTTTGACAGTCTTGTTGTTGCTTCTGTTTCTTGCGTTTGCGTACGGTATTAATTCCTTTAGATTTTTAATTGTCTGTTTAGATGGTGAATTGTTGTAATGGCTAAGCTCATGATTTACACATCTAAAATTTTGTGTAGCTATTCACTGCCAGGACTAAGGTATACTGTCTGATTGCTGCTGTGTGTATATATGTTGTATGAAATTTGAAATTGAGAACATTTGAAAATGATAGTGTTGAAGTGGTTTTGACCTCATGAATACATCCTTTTTTTTATCTCAATTGATAATTTGTTTCCATGTTGGATTGTACTCGTCGCATGATTATCGTTTTCCTCCATGGTTTCAATAGCTAGTTGTACTCCTGTAAAGAACGGAAGATTTTCCCCCAGAGCAGACACTCTTTGCGTGTAGGTGTCAAGCCTCTGTCTTTCTCTTCTTTTTTGGTGTGAACGGAAAATACTTGTCTTGACCAACTACAACTGATCAGAGCCTATGCAAACGAGCAATGTCGACATCTAATCGTCAAGCCACCGGAGTTGAATTTCAACTTGGCCACGTTCAATATTTTTCAGTCTCAGGCGCATGTCCTGCGTTACATTGCCGTCTTTCCAGAAAATGAAACTCTCTTCAGCCAGACAATTGGAGCTTGCAGGTGGTATTCTTGTGATTATTGTATCATTTGTAAGGCCATTCGGATTCATCTTCGCGACTTCTATCAACGGTCCGATATCAAACTCTGCTTCTCCCATCTTTTCATCCACGTTTCTCGACTTGTTGTGGCCATACACCGTCTATACATACATACACATACACACGGAATCATCATAAGTTCATAATTAAATAGCCCCATTGAATTTGCTTGATTATAAATTTATAATTAAAGAGCCTCACCAGAGAAACTTGATGATCATGATATCTAGGATATATTATCAAATCCTCATACCATTCAGGATTAACGTCATTTGTCACAACACGAGCCTTCAAAACCTACAAGACAAAGATTTTTAGTGAACTGGAAACAGCAAAGTATTCAATGCAAAATTGTACTTTATTTTCATAAATAAACGAGAAGGCACGGAACCTGATCGGCCATTGTGATAACAGCATAAGGATCTCCACCACCACCACCACCAACAACAAGATCAATACCTCTCTTCACCCAAATTCTGATCCGTCCTAATGTAAAATTTAGAACTCGAAAAACATCGTAGCCTAGATTCTCTCGTTCTTCTAATATTTTGTTTGCAGACGCCAAAAGGGAATTGTTGGTGTTGTGATCTAAGTTAATCCCTCGAAGTGGTAATATTGCGGCCAAATCCGAAGGGATCTCCTTGAGGTTTAAGTACCCAAGATGAATAATCTCAAGACACGGGAAATGTGTATCGTCTGCTTCCCATATCTCCAATTCACACTTATGAATCCATAGGGACTTGAGTCGAGCGAATTCCCCTTCTTTCGAAATCCACTTTTGGCCTACGGCAGCATTTCTCCGCAACGAGAGAACTTCAAGGTTGGGCAAAGAACCAACAGTGGACATATGTTCCCAAGGAATCTTGCATTCAGTTAAGGTCAACTCTTTAAGCGAACTTGGGAAGACAATTCCTCCACCGCAACGAGTACCGGTAATTAATTCCAGGTTAAGTTGTTCGAGTTTGTGGAGAAGTCCAAGATTGCTTAAACGATTAGATCCTATTGTCCCACATATAATTTCCAACTTCTTCAGATTTGGGATTTTTTTCATTACCGCTTCACTACATTTGAAATCTTTGACTTTTGAAAGTGTTTGTAAATTCTCAAGAAGTATGATTTTGTGGACATTATCTGGAAGAGGATCAGAGAGAACAATAAATCTGCCCTCAACATGTCGAAGTTGGGGCATGTGCCATATCTCACTTGGCAGAATCAACTCTCCGTAAACAACTAATGTTTGTAAACTCCAAAGTTGGGATATAGAAGATGGCATCGACATCGAACCCATGCAAGAAACATACCTCGAGTTAATTAACTGTAGAATCTCATCTTTGGGATATTCGTCCACCACATCGAATAGCCGTAGTAACGGAAACCGACGAGCAGTGTAATCAGTTGAATCCCCTTTAGAGAAGCTTACGAAAGACCGTGTAGGTACCGGTGGTCTATACGGCGTAAGATTCTTTTGTTTCCATTTGCCACTATTAATGCTGAGGCGTGGTGTGATCTTCGTATGTGTTACGATATTGAGGTTTGCGGTGAGAACGAAGTTGTCTTTTTGAGCTTCTCTCCTACATAGGTCACTTAAAAGATCATGAATTCGGCATGTCCTCACTTCTCCAGTAACCCACCGCGTATTCACCAAAATGAGGTTTCTATGAATAAGATCCTCCAAGTACTCCTCTCCAGTTTCTTCCATGCTTTTATGCCTACATTTCCGTATAAATCCCTCTGCAACCCACAACCTGACCAGCCTGGACACTTTGATGATATGATCTTCAGGAAACACGGCAAAGTAAAGGTAACAAGGTTTGATATATATAGGCAAGTGAATATAACTCAACCATAATATCTTCATGCAGAACTCGTCATCTTCGTTGTTTACTTCTGAAGTTACATCTTCTTCGACGTACTTCCAATGTTCTTTTGTCTTGGACTTTGCAAGAAGCCCACCAATGACAACAAGGGCCAAAGGAAGTCCTCTGCATTTTTTAGCAATACTTTTTCCAATTACCTCCAATTCAACGGGGCAACGTCCTTCTGCAAACACCTTTTCACGAAGTAGATCCCAACTCTGTGCTTCATCCAAAAAATTCAATTGATAAGGACTACAAGATCCAAAATCTTCAGCCAACTTCAATAGCCTAGTAGTTACCATAATTCGACTTCCATTATTATTATCGGGAAGGAACCTCTTTACCAGCTCCCACGCCTTAATATCCCACATGTCATCCATTACTATTAAATATTTCCTCCCGAATAATTCTTTGTACAGTTTATCACCTAGTGTTTCTTCTTCATCATTCATCTCCTTCACATTTCCATACCCATTACTAATCTGGAGTAAGAGGCCAAGAAGTATCTCTTTCTTATTACACTCTTTCGATATCGTAACCCAAGCACGAAGATGAAAGTGTTCCAAAACAAGAGGTTTGTTGAAAACATTAGTTGCAAGGGTAGTCTTACCTATGCCTCCCATCCCAACAACAGAGATGATTCGAAGATTAGATTCATTTGCGGTGAGCGTAGTCATCATTTGGATCAAGTGCTTCTGGAATCCGACCATGGTGCCTTTACTACTCGGAAGAGGCTTTGATGATGTACTACTAGCTCCTCTACTTAACGAGTTTTGAGGTTGTACATCTTTCTTGATCATTTTCACCAATTGTTTATGGATGGAATGTAACTCTTGTATTTCGGTCCGTACACCTTCAGACAAGAAATCGGAGGGTTCGGGTTCTAGTCTGTCAACTGCACATCCATCTGCAAGAATTTGGTTGATTATATTGAATTCAATGGTGTACTCTGCTCCATCAGCTGCCACCCTGATTCTCGTCTCCAAATGTTCGATTTCTTTGTCGCCGCCGCCGTAGTTACTTGATTGTCTCGAGAAAATCGATCAACAAGTCGGCCTTTTGTTGTAGAGTTTCAATATTTTTTCTATCAAAAATGATATGAAGGGTGGGAGGTGGGTGGAGGAGGATCTGATCAAGAGTGTGAGTGAGAGAAACTAAAGCTGCATAAGCTGCAGCCATCTCTCTCTGGATAATTCTTTATCTCCGACCAATACTAAATTTTTGCTTCATCAGACTTGAATTTCATACACTAACAGCTAAAAACTGTGTAGCAAGAAGAAGAGTTGAAGACCAAAATTGTGGGATATGTGGCTCTTATGTGTGTGCATTCACCACCACTTGATCTTTATTACTGCAAGTCAATATTCATTCACTGGGTTTGTCGGCAACCTCAAATGCCTTTTTTTTTTCTATATGCCTTATAATCAATTTTTATAATTATACTAGTATAAATGAATATTTTTTAGTTCGTTTTTTTGTTGATTATTAAATATTTAATTATAAGTAGTATCATTAAAAATAATATTAACATAATAAAAAATAATTTGTTTAGTTAATTTCTTTTTTTTTTATATTACAAATTTAATTATGAGTAGTATAATTATAATAAATTAAGTACAATTAAAAATAACTAGTATTTTTTTCCTGTATGATGCACGAGATCTTATTTTAAAAGTGAGAAAAAAATAATAAATTTAATACATAATAAGAAAATATAGTAAAAATTTAATAATATAATATTATTCATATTTTATATAACATTAGTTTTTTTAAATCTTACGTATTAAGATTTAAACAAATCGAATTTCTATCTTCATCTCTAAGAATTGAGATATATCGATGAAAAATATGAGATTGATAATAGTTGAAAATTATAGTTAGAAAACTAGTAGAGAAAAAAAATTGTAGATTGAGATGTACCTCCTTTTTTATGTCAATTTATAATTTGTTTCCATGTCGGATTATACTCGTCGCATGATTATCGTTTCCCTCCATCGTTCCCAATAGTTAGTTGTACTCCTGCAAAGAACGGCAAGGAAGATTTCCCCCCGGCATAGACACTCTACGCGTGTAGCCAAAAAACAAAAAACATAAATACTGTATAATCTATTCGTCGTCATCATCTTCATTATCACCAGTAAGCCAGTTAGGGTCATACGCTATGGAATGGAACGAAGGGCATAGAGTGCTGCCCTCCAACAACGGCGCCAAAAATTTGTTGGGGCTAAATACCTAACACGCAAGTGCACGTATCGCAAACAAGTAGTAAAAGTGGACTCGTGAGAGTCGGATGTCGATCCCACAGGGAATACTCAAATTATCTAATCCTAAGTACCAAATTCTAACAATTATGATTTTTATCCAGCCTACGCAAAGTTGTCAAATTTAATCAACTAAATAATTAAACTAATTATGAAAGCAATTAAACACGAGAAACTATCAATAAAAAAATGGATATAGGATTTCATCTTCCCCCTACGCAAGAATTGCTCACCCAAAAACCCTTCAATTATGAAGTATATGATTCTGATTATTAACCCGAGACACTAATTACTCATAACCCGTTGTCGCGTGTATTATGAGTCTATTATTCATAAACGGTTCACTATATGTCTATGCAAACCAATTATGAATAAAGCATTAACTAACAAGTCTCGTAAATGGCTACCTAAGGTGATGTCTATATGTCTACGACACCACATGCAATTGACACACTCATCCGGTGAAAACTACGCGAAGGTTCTTTACTTACCATATAATTATCAAAATAACTCTGTCGAGTCAATCACAATAATCACAGATAAAGCACATAAATTAAACATCTCAGCATAACATGGCAGCAGCATCTTCTCAACATCCTGTTTCTGAAGATGTTGCTGCACATGTTCCAGAAGATGCTGATGCACCCACTGTCCCAGCCAATGCCTCTCAGAATGCTGCTGAGGATGCTGCTCCCTACCAGGATGAGGAAATGCCTGATTTTTCTGGGATTTCCTCTGCCGAGCATGTAGACATTCCCACTGTTGATGCACAGGACTTTACTACCACTGAAGAAACACCCTCAGCTCCACATGCAGATCCTCTGAAAACTTTGGGAGAGGCAGCTGTTCAAGTGGATGCATCACCTCCCTAGGTTGAAGAAACATAGAAAAGTGATGACAGCTGGAAAGTTCCCCTTTCCTCCTTCCGAAAAAAATTTGCCATCCTCTGAGTCAGACAGTGACTCTTCTGAAGAATCCTCTCAGATGCAAGAAGATGATGCCCCACCTGTTGCATCACCTGAACCAGCATACATTCTAGATGAACTTGAAGACTCCGAAGATGAGGAATCCTCTAAGGAAGAAGAGCCAGACTTGGATGGGAAGGATCTTTCAACTCCTTTTGAGGTAAACAATGCCTTCAGTCCTACTTTTTATTTTGAATCTGATTCTACTTTGAGTCCTCAAATCATGAATTGCTAATTCATTGAGGAAAAGAAAATTTCCAAGGATGAGTTTGATAGACATAGGATCACTGCTTTTCTTGATCAAAGAAAAATCCTTAGTCTAGTTGAGGTTGTCTGTCCTTATGATCCCTCTGTTGTGAAGGATTTATGCCAATTTGCAAACCTCCTTTTTAAAGAAAAATTCTCCAAACTTTGGCAAAGTTTTTGTGCGAAATTCCATTTTCTCCTTTTCTCCCAAAATTATCAACTCTCATTTACAAACTCCTACTGTGATTGATGAGGATAATTATGGTGATTTTACTGAGGTTTGTAAGACTCTTTCTGGAAATCGTCTAAAATGTTGACCTGCTCACCCCAGAAAATTCAAAATTTCTCAACTCACAGAATTTTATTCTGTCTTGTTCAGACTCACAGTGATGAATTGGATTCCATCCAAAAATGTCTTTGTGGTAACTAAACCTCATGCAGTACTCATGTACAAATTGGGGATGGGATTACCAATTGATTTTGGAAAGCTTTTCTTTAATAATATAGGTCATCTTGCCCAGAAAATTTCATCATCCACTAATCTTCCTTATCCTTCTCTCATTTACTCCATTCTGCTTTCTCAAAATTTGGGCCAAGATGCATCAGAATATCTTCACACTCCACTTGGCATGATAACTGTTTCTCAAAATTTTCTCAAAGCTCCTCATGTCCAAGATCTTCCTTGGAATGGAGATAATTTTCTCTCAACTGAATCAGGTCAAAATAATCTTGGTACTGAAGGTGTTGCTCCTCATGTTGATAACATTCATGACATTCTTGTTTCTGTTCCTAGAGATCTTTTGTTACAACAACTTACTCACTCTCTAGCTCAGATAACTTATCACCAGTCCATGGTGGAAATGCTTCGAAAAACTCTTTCTGGTCAAAAAGGGGGAGGAAAAGCTAGTCATGAAGTTGAAGCAATGACTTCTCATCCTTTGGATGCTAGAGGGAGAGAGCAATGTGGAATAAGTAGTGCTTAGTGGGTTAAGTATAGTGCTTAGTGGGCTAAGTAATGCTTAGTGGGTTAAAATGTGGATATTATTTTAACTACCAAACTAACCCACTAACCCATGTTCTTGAGTGCTCTTGTAGTTGGTTTTCTTGCAGATCATGGGCTGAGGAGTGGAAGCTTGGAATGTCTATAAATACCGACTTCAAGACTCATGGAAAATGATGGATTCTATGAAATAAAAACCGAGAGCTGAAAAGAATACATGAGATTTTTAGTGTGTTTTTAGAATCTGTTTGCGTACTCCTCATGAGTACATTCTTTACGTACTCCTCATGAGTACATTCTTTGTAGTCTAGATTGTTTAGTATATATGTTTCTAGACTTGGTTGTAAGAATGATCAAGATAGTGATTCATTCATAAGAAAGAAGTTCTTTACGTACTCCTCACGAGTACATTCTTTGAAATCTAGAATTTTTAATATTTCTCTTTTTGTTTCTAGATTTGAATGTAAGAATGATCATGAGAATGATTCGTTCATAAGGAAGAAGTTTTCGTACATCTTCTCTTTGTATTCTTGGAATACTGTTTTAATATAATTTTTCCGTCCTGTAAAGGGCAAGTTCACAAATTTTACTTGTGAACATTTTTAGATCTGAGTATTGTCTTTATATCTTTATATTCCCGCTGCATGTTACCTCAAGTGTCATAACACTTAAGATAACATCTATGTATTAAACGAATTCGGACCATAAATTCTTTCAATTATTATGTCATGGAAAAAGAATATTTGGCTAATAGTTCCTCGCATATCTGGAGTGGAGTTGGCCGTGTATGGAGCAAGTGAGAGTAATTAACAGGTTATTAATAAGAACCCACTCACTCGTATGGGTAAATGAGGATGATTCTCACCCATTTTTAAATATTAGTGAAATTCCCCAATTTATTTGATTAAATAAATATTTAGCAAATTTTATAGTAGTATCCTTAATTTACCGCCCTATTAAATGATATATTAATTTCTTCTCTTCAACTAAAAAAGCCTAACACATCATGCTTCTCTTATTTCTCTGTGCCCAACCACCACAGTCGCGTTCCACTGCCACCGCCCATGCAACCGTCAAACCACCCATTCTCTTAATCTTTAGTTCCCTATATCTTCTCTCTCCTTCCAACGACTTTTCTCCCTCCACCGCGACAGAAGTAAGGTGGTCTTCGCCCCATGGAAACCTCTCGTCAAGGGTGGTGATAGGTTTTCACTAGGAAGAGTGACAATATTGTACAATGGCGACGCTAGGGTTAATATTGCATCTGGATTCAATTAATGCCCGCAAGATTGGAATTTAGGCTGGATAACAAACTTCGATCTATTGTGGTCGGGGTCTGAGACAGAACTCCAAAAGCTTAAGAGTTGAAAATAAATGGTTTTTTTTATTTGAGAGAATGATAAAAAAATGTACATGCAAGATTTAAAATGTGTCTGAACAAATCAATTCAGCTTATATTTTTTGGAAATAATTGGAATCATAAATTAATAAAATCAAAGTGAGAACAAAATTGTTCTAAAATCTAAACTTGAAAATTTTGAATTTAAATGACAAAAATATAGATATTCATCCGTACTTTAACCAAATTATTTGTTTTCTTCTAAATAAATAGGCTTAATTCCACTTTGCACCCTTGAAGTATAACATTTTGTCACTTTGCACCCTTGAAAAACAATAATACCACGCTCAAAATATAATAAATCATTCACAATGCAACCCGAGTTGAATAATAAATGATAGTTCATTTTTTAGTGGGTTTTTTTTTTTCCGGTGTGCAAAATAAAAATTTAAATTGTTCTTTTTTTCAACCTCCAACCTAATTTTGAGCGCACAAAGGGCGAAAAATAAAAATCTAGGTAGAAATATTTGGAAGAAAATATGATTTTCAGATAACTTGATAACGAAATAGGATTTTTTTTTCCGTA